CAGAGCAGGGGATGGAGGAGGGAGGGGTGAGCAGAGCACAGCATGGAGGAGGGAGGGGAGGAGAGGGGTGAGCAGAGCACAGCATGGAGGAGGGAGGGGAGGAGAGGGGTGAGCAGAGCACAGCATGGAGGAGGGAGGGGAGGTGAGGTGAGGAGTATCCGGTAACAGAAGTTGAGGTGACCTAAGGTACTTCCTTCTGCTGGACTGGAAGGGATGGCTCGTGCCCTCTGCTGATGTAGGAGGAAGGAACATTCCGGCCACAGTCCTCCCCATATACAGAGGGCACAATCCGTCACTGGCAGATGATCAGGTCATCTCTAGAAAATGGTAGGGGGCGGGGTATATAGCCTCTATGCTGTGTGCCTGGGGAGGGGCCCGGGACAGTCTTGGGAATGCAATGGCCCGCTTTGTTGAAAGAGCTTGATGCTCCCTGTACCATGGCTATTTACTCATTTGGTTGCTATGGGTAACAACAACCATTTGGTGTCTAAGGCTACATGTGCATGGGGCCATTATGTGCGGCTACAGAGCCTACGGATTCTTGTGGTAGGAATCCCGGGTGCATCCGTACAAATGGCGGCCACTGTGCCAAGTGAATGATCGGCTGACAGCGGCCACATCTGTCCGTAGGCAATGGTTCCATGTATGATTACATGCAGACCGGCGTGGTGTGCTATTCCCGGCCCAATTCTCCGCCCACATTCTCAGGAATTAGGATTTCCAAAAGTTCCCAGGTGTATCAGTGTCCTGATATATAAGTGTCTTATAATATTATCTCCATCCATGTCATACAATGAGATTCTTCTCTGTGCCCCTCACGGAGCTGCTGGAACCCGCAATAAAATGTTCTTAAAGTTACAAGATGTCTCCCTGTCTGTGTCTCCCGCCCATTGCTTCACCTCGGAGAGGCAGTTAAGGAGCCAGGCTCATGTGAGGTTAGCGGTTGCATTTGTGTGGGTGTTAAAGGTTAGCGTGACTTAAAGGTTAGGTTGTGGTCAAGACTCACATTTTGGGGTTCATGGGGGTTTGATGGGCCTCTTTTAGGTGTAAATTTTACTAGCCGTGGATTTTCTAAACACAAGTCAGTGTGCTCACACATTCACACAAGGCACTCACTTCACAGCTGTGTTGTGTTTGTTTCTTTACAGTATCTTTTGCCCTTATCAGTGATGGCGGCTTTATCCACAATGCCCGCACCCAACATGGCCGCCCCTGGAGAACGTCCGCCCACAATCGTCGTGGGCGAGGCAGATTGAAAGCCACGCCCCCTGACGCCTGCGCAACAACCAGCTCTGATGACAAGCAGCGTCGGCCATTTTGTTGTGGTCCACAGTCACAGCCGTACACTGGTCAGTACCCATATATCTTCCATCTCAGACGCCTGCCGCCTCCTAGCGGATCATTTGTGATACATTTGAAGCAAATTTTGTGAACCTCCAACTTTATTTAAACTGTCCGTTTCTATGGGAACAACCGCTGATGCGGCGGCCATATTGGATGCGGGCAATGGCGGAACGCATAACCGGAGGTAGAAAGCTTCTGGGTCATGTACGGGTGCCCTCTGGTCGGTTTAGGGAGGCATTTAATTTCGCTATGGCGGTGTCCTGGCGAAAGAGAACGGCGTTGGTAAAACTGTAAAGACAAAGAGTAACGCGCTCTGTGCCCTTTGCTTATGGCACGACTTCCGGCGGCGGGTCGGCCATGTTGGTTTAGGGCAAGAGCGGAACGGGGCTGTGCAATGCTGAGATGGGGTTGCAGCGGTGGTTTCCGGTTGTGGTGTTGAAGAGGGGGTTCTTGGTGAGGGAAGAGAAGTAAGGAATGCAATGGGTGACATAGAAATTATATATATAAATATACATAATATAGTATCTTATTTGTGTCT